GGGGCGCTATGCCGAGCTGGTACGTGACCTGGGAGGTGGTGGGGTTGTGTGGCGCGACGGTGGCTTTCTCGCCTTCGTCGGTGCGCCGAGCTGCCGGGAGCGCTCCTCCGCTGAGGGGCGGGGGTGAGGTGGTGCAGCCCCGAGCGGGGGAGCACTTTTTACCCGGTAGCACAGCGAAAGTCGCTCCGCGTTGGAAGCGGGTATCACGTCCAAACTTGGAGACACATAAGGGCTTTTTAAGTCTCTCGGTAGTGGGGTATTTTCCTTTTGAAGGCTAAGTTAATGTTTAGTAGTTAGAGGCCGTGTCTGTGTGTCTTGCGCAAACGCAGGTTGTTTCCCATAACTTACAAGGCTTTCTGGCTAGTTCAAGTTTGTGTTTGTCTTGATTAATTCTGTTATATGCCAAGTTAGGGTTTGCCTTCCTGGCCTGAAGTTCTTGCTTTCTTGCTTTTCAGTATGAAAACCCTTGGACGATCCCAAATATACTGTCAATGGCAAGGATGGGTTTGGCGCCAGTTTTAGGCTATTTGATTGTGGAAGAAAATTTCAATGTTGCCCTAGGTGTCTTTGTTTTGGCTGGCATAACGGATTTGGTATGTTTACATCAGTTTGGAAATACTTTGGGGATAGTGTGGGTTGCGGTGATCCCATTGACGTACACTGAAACTTAGACTCCAATGTAGAATGGAAATGAATAAACAGACTAGTTTTTATATTAATTGTTTTCTAGAAATGGTATATACATCTTTTGTGACATTGTGAAGGGAGCTCACAGATAACCGAAGGGGACTTAAGTGCTGCTGGAACGAAGGGGATATTAGGTTTCCCTGACCAGCCCCAGGTGGGCATTGTCCAGTCAGCGCTTATGCACTGTCTAGCGATCCGTTACTGTATGCAGGTGTACCCAGTGCACCTGGCATGACAATTGTGACAATTTTAGAACAGCAGTTACCTTTTTTCCTTTTTTTTTTTTCCTTTTAATAATGAGAACTGAATATGTTCAGAGGCTTCCCATATCTGGAATGTAATGTGAAAAAAGTATGATACAAATATCAGCTAACAGGTATCGTATTTCATCTTGGTTAAACTAGCTGTATTACATGATGTCATTCATGAAATATCTCTGTAACAGTAGCATATGTAAGCTATTTTTATTCTTAGTTTTCTAACAGAGAAACATTGAACTTTGTTCTTCCTAGTTGGATGGATTTATTGCACGAAACTGGGCTAATCAGAAATCAGCTTTGGGAAGTGCTCTTGATCCTCTGGCTGATAAAATTCTCATCAGTGTGCTCTATGTAAGCCTAACTTGTGCAAATCTTATCCCAGGTGAGAATATGTCATTATTTGCATGTACTATATAAGGTAAAGAAGCTGATGATATGTATAGTGACCTTTATTGTGTGTCTAGAATGAAAACTCTGTATAGCTCGAAACTCTTGCTTTCTCAGTTGCACTTTGCTATTTGCTCCTCTTAAATTCTTAAAAAACATCCCTCCCCCAACACAATAGACCTGCAAAACAAAAAGTATTACTGCTGGTTTCAAATGTACTTTCTTTAAAGCAATAGTAGTTAGTAGTTGTGTAGAAAGTTTTCTCATAGACTGGATTGTTTTAAGACTTTAGATGAAACACTTTCAGAAGTCATCTTAAAAATATTCAGTTGTACACAAAACTTGTTCAGAAGAAGTTGAGAGTGGTAATTTCTTCTTGCTTCATACTTTGCGCTCTTTTGATTTTGTTTTGGTTTTAATCATGGACGTCATTTTTCACTAGATCCTGTTGGCTTGGTTTTTCAGTTTCACTTACTTCCATGATTATTCTGAGGGACGTAGCGCTCATTGCTGCTGTTTTTTATGTGCGATACAAAACTCTTTCTCCACCGGTAAGTGTGTAGCGTACTTGTATGAACATGTAATCATCTTATTTTGATTAAGTCTTCTGTGTTTTTACAAGTATGAAAAAATGAACAAGCCTTTAACAAAGTTGTAACCAGGAGATTTTCATCTTGAGACTTGATGGTTGCTCAAAACTTGGGTGGGTAGCCTAAGATGTGATGCTGTACTTGTTCTTTTGCCAGATAGATTTGTAAGCAGAACAGTATTTCATAAAATAGGTTTCATAAATATGAGTCAGAAATACTGATAACTTCTTTTTTCACCTGTGTATGATGTGCAATAAATCATATAAGAGCAGAAGCAGTATAATTCTTTAGCACTACAGTTGACTTTTGTATCATGCGAAGAGGTATATCAAGTTGAATATACTAGAATTGCCTTTTTTCTTCTCTTTTGTCCCCCAACAGCGAACACTCAGTAGGTATTTTAACCCCTGTTATGCTACTGCCCAATTAAAACCAACATTTATTAGCAAGGTAAGAGTAATAACTCGTTACAAAAGGTAACTCCTCAGTACTTGGAGTGGTATGTAGTTTGGAGGGAGGAGGCTGTTTACTACTAGTGCTGAGTGCAGTTTCAAAATAGTGCCAACTAATTTGGAGGCAACTTAAATTCTGAGGGATTTTCAACTCTATATTCTCTCATAGCACATGATAATTTCTAGTGTGTAAGATGCTTCTTTAAAAGAGGTTTCTAAATAAATTTTCTGTATATAGACTAATACTGAAACCAGTAATAAAAGGGTGTATTGGTGTTCCTTGCATAATACATATCTTCATTTCAGTCACATTTCCTATTTTGCTTTTATCAGATGAATACAGCGGTTCAGCTAATTTTGGTGGCAGCTTCTTTAGCAGCTCCTGTTTTCAATTATGTGGACAGCATATATCTGCAGACATTATGGTAACTTACTTCTTCATTTTTTTTTTTCTTCATTTAATGTACTACTAAAGAAACTGGTAATTGAGATTAATGTTATTGCATGGAACAAAAAACCTGTGCCCAAATGATGTAATAGACCCATATGGCTGAATTTTTACACGTTTATTCTTAACTGACACAGGAGCTAGATATTTATTGGTGCTTAATTTACTATACAAGCAAAAAGTAGTCAAATTAAACTAGTTAAGATCCAGGAATAATAGTGAAGAAACAAGTCTTCAGAATAGACATGGTATACACAGGCAAAGTGTAAATTCAGATTAATGGAAGAGAAGGAAGTGGGAAGAAAGGCTGTATGGGTTCTTTATTTATTCATGCTCTTGAAAAAGCGACCTTGATATCACTAAAATTAGACAGGAAGTGTTTTCTCATTTTTGCTTTATATTGTACCTGCTATCTTGAAATCTAGGTTTCTGAAGCCTCTTTGAAAAGCACCTGAAGAAATCCAGTGATTCCTGCTAGACTATAGGAAGGAAGGGGAGGGATGGAATGAAAACAACTGTAGAGGAGGATACCTCCTTAGAAAATGGCTGTTCCTTTCACTGTTGTCACTGGAGGTCTGAACTGAATCTGAATTGTAGCTGACAGCAGGTGTTACAAGTGCAGTTATTTCTCCTGAGCAGTTGGGTAAGAGTTCAGAACGAAGAAGCTGAACAGCAGAGAGCAGAATTACTTAGTAACATAGTTTAAAGTAGTGGGAAATCCAGTGTTACTTGTCTTTTAGTGGCAAAAAAACCCCACAAACACAAACCCCAAAGCTTTTAAGGAACTAGGAACTTTGATCTTAACAGTCAATATGGTCTTTCATCCTGTTGGAAAGCCACATCTGGAACTGCATCTGTGAAAGACACATACCTTGCTGCTTGTCTGGGACTCTGTGAGAGAGTTTCCATGTTGTGAGTAATGGAGAAATGCTGGGTGTAACTTACCGAGGTCCTCTATAAATGCTCTCAAAAATTACCTGAATGAGTCTGGCAGTGTGTCCAGGGAGGGCAGCAGTAGTGGAAGGGTAGGACTGTAGCGGTGGCTCACACCTGAATGGTATCAGCCTTTGGCACAGAGGAGCACTGCTAATTTAGAAATATATATATGGTTATTCCCCAGTGCCTGGGAAGGGAACAAAAGAGGCTGAAGCTGAAACTTGTGCCTTAGCTTTGGAACTTGGTAAAATGTAAGTTCAAGTCTTGTACAATTTGAACGCTCACCTTTCATACTACCAGGGGATAGTTTCTCATGTCAGTCAGTTCTCAAGCTGGTAAAAATAATGTAGGGTACAAATACTGAAACGGATCTTTTGTCTTCCCTTCTCTAAAACAAGTGCTAAAATGGTAAAAATTTGGCCTAGTATGCAATTATACTGAAGCATGCTACATAGCGCTGGATGGCAGTTCCTTTGTTTATCTAATCCTCCACTTAGTACTGAATTTCAGCATATAAACTGCATTTCTGTAGGACATAGTCCTTGACTGTGTAGTGAAAAATAGGAAAGACACTTAAAAATACCAATTTTTATTATCGTACTTAGAATCAAATGACTTACAGGAACTATTTTCCCCAAAGGTGCATCACAGCTTTCACAACAGTAACATCTGCGTACAGCTACTACCACTATGGCCGAAAAACGGTTCAGGTGATAAATAACAAATGAATTATTCCTGAAAGGGCTGGGTCTTGGCAGCATGGTGTGCTGTCCTGCTGA